AAATTACCACATAATTAAAAATTTTAAAGGCTTTTTTTCTGAAAAGAATTTAAATTAGATTATGTATTTATTTTTATATATATTAGCATTGTTTTCATGGCTCCGAATATCTTCAGGCGATTGTGATATCAAACATTTTTTATTTAGTTTAAGATGTGTTTTGGACACCAGAGTAGCTGCTGTTAATTTTTTTGGCTGTTAGTGATTAAAAAAAAAATAGTGGCAGCTATTAATAGTCCTCCATCTAGCAGAGCTTCCTACCCTCGTTTAATTTTTGTTTTTAATCGTCTGTGGGCTGAGAACACAGTCAGCTTGTGAGAATTATGTATAAATTCAGAGCCCACTTTCTGAGTGGAAGTGCGAGGCATTCCCACATGAAGAAAAGGCATGGATATCAACATCTATTTTGGTTGTTCAAAAGCTTTGGGCCTGTTTTCTGGTTCTTGGCTATATCTCCAAAGAGTGTGGAGTAACATGTAAGTAATACGTTACTATGTAGTTCAAAGAGTTAAATAGTATTTTTTCCCATTTCCATTATTCTAGAGATGAGTATTTGGAAGTTATTGGGAAGCAGATTTTAGTTAAGCAGACACATATTTTTAATTTCACAGAGGAGTACAGTGAATTCAGCACCGACCGGTGAGTCTGATCTCAGTTCCAGGAATAACCAGTTATCATTTAAATCCTCTGGGCATCAGTGCTCGCATGATCTCAGACCTGCTTATAGGACTCTGGGATTCTAGGCCTTACTTCTAGGGCTCCCATCCTGATAGCTCAAGTTCAGGCTTACTGTAGAGTATGTCCCTATTGGTAGGGTTGGACTGAATGACCTCTAAGGTGTATTCCCATTTTAAGATTGAGTAATCTAAGACTCACATCTCGAAGACAACTCACTTGCATCTGCAGCTCTCAAGGTCAAGTATATATACCTAAGGGTGGTAATGGTTTTGCTGCTCCCACCTGCCTTGTTCTCCTGTTGGTTCCCATTGAGACTTTTCAGATTGGTAGTCCATTTTCTTTCCCCTCTGACTTGGTAGGGTTGGACTGAATGACCTCTAAGGTGTATTCCCATTTTAAGATTGAGTAATCTAAGACTCATATCTCGAAGACAATTCACTTGCATCTCTCAAGGTCAAGTTTAAATACCTAAGGGTGGTAATGGTTTTGCTGCTCCCACCTGCCTTGTTCTCCTGTTGGTTTGTTTTCACAAGTGGCCAGTTGGGAATGCCACTCTCAGAAGTCCTAGTTTTCTCTCGCCTTTCCTCCGGCCCCCAGTTTAAAGCTGTTAAAGGTTTATGAAATGAATTAAGGGAAAATGAAATATTAAGCTGGTCATGAATTCTCTTTACAGCAACGATCAAGTCACTAAGAAAGAAGTTAATCCAAGGACAACTCCATGGCTTGCTGTTTCAGGTAAAACAAACAAACAAACAAACAAACCTCTGCAATATGTGTTTAGTGTGGGGATGATGTCCAAACTGTGTAAGGTTCCAAAGCTAATTTATAATGGGCAGTAATTTTAATCATAAACTTAAGTAACCAACTTAGAAGAATATGGTGGACTTTGTTGTCTTATGCACTGAAAATGGTTAGCAAAACAAGAGGGAAGAGCTCACGTTAGTGAATGGCTTGTTGGAGACATTACATCTTTCAAAGAGGAGGCATTTCAGAATTCATTATCCATTAGGAAAGGCCAGTTTTCAGTCTCAGGCACCTCCTTTCTGACACACTTGAATGGGTTTTGATGGTTACTGCCTCTTTTTTCTCCTGTTTGAATTAACCTTTCGACTCCTGTCTAGATATCTCAAGATGTCCATGGGAGTTTAATGTATTTCTTTTCCTTATGACACTTGGTGAATTTCTTCTTTTTGTTCATAAGTGAAGAACATAAGGAACTGGAGGAGGGAGGAGAGACGGGTGATATTCACATGTATCTGTTTCCAGGCCATAATGCAGGCACATCTGGTTAAGCAGGAAAAAAAAAAGTTTTATTCATGTGGGAGATTAAGCTAGGCAGAGTTCCTAAAAAGCCCTCTGCAATAATTTGAGCTGGAAAAAACCTCCTTATCTAAATACGCTTTAATCATTTTAAGAACAGCAGTAAAGTTTTCTATTATAACGTAACTATGATAGTATGTAGCTACCTCTTGGACTAAGGCCATGATTTTATTGCTATATAATTTTTATTGGTACCATTTTTACTATTCTGAGTTATGTCTCCCAACAAGCTTCTTTGGCCTCTGCCTCAAGATTTCAATGACCAGTCAGTTTCCTGTTCCTGACCTTTGGCCTTTTTTCTTTAGTAATGGGGAAAATAGCAACAAGAGGTTAACAATTACAAACTTGTTCCCTTAAAGCAGAACACACAATAAAGAACTGGTCATTTCAACCTCTTCAGGTAGCATTATCTTCTCTTAAGTCTAATATGTTCTGTATCTTTGACTCTTTTTCACCATTCTGTCTTTGACAACACTCCACAATTTTCTCTTTACAGAGCTGTTTAGACGAGGAATTTCCTCATTATGATCCTTTGTCCTGCACAGATACAATTCAACAACGTCTTCAAGAACTGGTAAGTTAAGCTTCTTGAAACAGTGTAAGTGCCATTGTGAGTCAACTCTATGCCAAAATAGAAAGTTAAGTCCAGTATATATTAATAGACCTAGAACTCTATATGCAGATGGAAACCTATTTATTTTCTTGACCATGTTCATGAACACAATCCTGGTAGACCCTAAAAAAAGGTGATGTTTAAATATTTTTATTGTAGTATTGTGAAGAATTATATGACTAAGCTTGCCCCTCACCCATAACTCTTCCTTTTTTTATTTAAAAATATATTTTATTGATTTTTTTACAGAGAGGAAGGGAGAGGGATAGAGAGTTAGAAACATCGATGAGAGAGAAACATCGATCAGCTGCCCCCTGCACACTCCCTACTGGGGATGTGCCCGCAACCAAGGTACATGCCCTTGACCGGAATCGAACCTGGGACCCTCGAGTCTGCAGGCTGACGCTCTATCCACTGAACCAAACTGGTTAGGACACCCATAACTCTTTCATCAAAGCCTTTGTTTATATGAAAGTGTCAATCACTGGGAATTGATGATATTAACATTCTGTTAAACTATTTAACTGTGATTTTGAAGATTTTATTTCTATTGTTGAGGGTATTATAGATGTCCCCCATGTTCCCCTGCTTTGCCCCCTTCTGCCTGGCTCCCACTCATCCCAGGCTTTCACTGCACTACTGTCTGTGTCCCTGGGCTATGCATATAAATTTTTTGGTTAATCTCTTCCCCCCATCCTTCCCTCTGAGATCTGTCAGTCTGTTGCATACTTCCATGTCTCTGGACCTTTTTGTTCATATGAGTGAGATCATGTGATATTTGTCTTTCTCTGACTCACTTATTTCACTTAGCATAATAATCCCCAGGTCCATCAAAACTGTCTCAGAGGACAAGAGAGCTGATTATGTTATCATTCCGTTCAGTTATGGAACTGTGGTTTTTAATAAGAATTATACTTTATGCATAGAGTATACCCTTTGATCAAAGTCATGAAAGCTTTGTTACTTGGCATCAATAATTTTCTTCCTGACCTCTCTTGCAGGGTTATTTAAGACCAGTTATATTCTTTCTACCTTTAGGGATGAAGAGAGTAGATTATAAAATGTTAGGTTACGCCACTTTAGATGGCTAATATTACTTGACTTTCTTTTCAGAAGCAGTGTGGCCATAAACAACATAGTGGTCAAGAAGCAAGAATACATAAGACTCCCCTGACCTTCAAACATACATGCTGGTACACACCCCTGCTGGGTAAGCCTGGATAGCCCCTCTCCCAGACCTTCTCAGACAGAGCTGGGGCAGGGTTATTTTCGAAAGGCAAATAATCACAATTCTATTTGTAGAGGAAGAGTTGCTGAATATTTGGGTATTTATCCCTGAATTTATGTTTCAGCACCTACTCTATCAACTTACGTCTCAGCACCTACTCTATGCCAGCCCCCTATTTATGTAAATTAGAGATTAAGTCCTAAAATTAAGTCCTCACAGATTATTGGTGAGATAGACCTGAGCTCAGAGAAGGCTCCATAAAAGAAATAAGAGTTGAACCAGGCCTTGAAAGATGGGTTGCATTTGGAAAAGTAAAACTCGTGGAAAAATTAATTCAATTGGGGACAATGAATGAGGAAGAATGAAAGCCCAGAAGAATTCAATTTCCTAAGTGCTTGAAGAAGAGTCAAATCTGGACAAGTCATTTTGAACAAAGAGGAGTTGGATTGGGACACAGTAGAATCTAAGTGTGGAGCAGGTTGTGGGTTAAACTGTGGACTACTATTCAATGTTAGGCTAAAGAAAAAAAAGCTTTAGATTAGGAAATGCTCAA